ACAAATACAGGCCATTTACCATTCTGAAAGAGATAAAATATAAAACTAAAGTCAGATGACCTCAGTACTAACTGTGCTGAATAAACTTTCACATGCTGGTGACAGATACTGCTCTGTAAGTTAATCTCTAAATCTTTTTCAGTTTGGTAATTTACAACTTGAATTCCAAGCAGCCGCACGTGTGCATGCCAACTTAAGCTGGGAATTCTGATGAAAGGTGAAAGGCTGTTCAACTTTTCCAGTGTGAGTGGTTCGTCTTTGCTGAAATTGTGGTTAGGGTGTGGTCATTTGTTTGTTGTCTGTCTGCTTGCAGCGAGCAGACAGCTGTCGACGGAAACGGCGTACAAAATATACGGTATAACCGGTCTGACAATAGACGTCACAGCTAACTCTGCTGTCACCCCTTGTGGTTCAAAGTGGTATTACATGCAGGTCAGGCCATAGTTCTACTTCAGCTGATACCTCTTTAACACAATACCTAGATATTTTTGGACATAACGTCTTATTACAGCTCGCTTATCAACCAATCAGCTTTCAGCCAACACACAGTATCATCCACGTCCAGCAACATGCAGTTGTGATTGTGCAGGACTGCACAGAAATATGTCTGCGTTGGGTGAAAACCCTCCTCCTCTCTGAAGCCTTGCTTTGAGTGCTCAAGCAGGGCAGAAAAGCACTATAAAAGAACCAGTCCATTTACGCTGTCTGCAGGAAAATACATACAATATGTGAACAGACACAGTCGTGGTATAAAATCCACATTACTTGCCCTACAGGAGTGTTTTCTTCATTGTCTACCTGCTGATCAAGGATCCAAGGAGGATCTCTTTGTATACTATTAGGAGACGTCAGTGAAAGTTTTAATTCTTCTAACTATCCATCTATTGTCTTCGACTTATACAATTCATACACAGTGTTTGCCTCACACTTCACAGGTCCTAGCTTCAAACACAGGCGTTTGACCTTTTCTGTGTGGACTTTGCATTTTCTCTTTCTTGTGCTTGATTTCTCCTGTTTGTCCTTCCATTAAAAACACAATAGGTTAAAGGTACTTATTAGGTAATTATACTTGTCAGAATTTCAAGCGGTTCTTTTGTGGTTACGCATTTGTCTAACAAGTGGAAGATCCTTGTTTAGTCCCAAAAGGAGACACATATCTCTTTAGGCCATGCACAATCACACTGGATGGAAGGCCATCCAGTGTAAAAAATCCACCAAAGCAAACATGTGGAGCTATCTGCTGTGACAACCCTTGTAAATAAGGGAGCAGTTGAAAGTAACATTCAGTACTTGGCAGAATTTCACTAAAACATTTACCAGTAGGGGGCAGCATTCTACCCACAACAGGGGTGTTTTGTTTTGTTTTCTTCTGATATGCACTGATATATATATATTTTATTATTCTCATTTATTTTCTGATTTGTTTTAGCTACACCTAGGGTGCTTTCTGAAGGTAACTCCTATCTCCTATTCCTAACCTCTTTTCCTTGACTTGACTATAAACATCATCGAGATCAAGGGAAAGTGGGTAAGAGAACTGCTAAGGACTTAGGAAAAGAGAAACACCGTGAGAATTGGAACACTCTCACACTCGTCTCTCCTAACAATATAACATTGTGTTAAAACTACAATGTACAGAAGATGAACTACAAAACCCGCATCATATTTTGCCACAGTGTGTTCAAACGCTGTTGTTTTATGGGCGTCATATAAACGAGAACAGCCTGTGAAAAACAGGAGTGTTTTTGTGGTCTGCCTTATGGAATACGTATTTGTAAGAGGAGGAGAGAATATTCTCCTCATCACTTTCAGGAGGAGAATATTCAAATGTGTCACGCAAACGTGTCTGTGGCACACAATTTCTTGCAAATTGCACGCTGAAAAAAAATCCTGTCTTATGCCTGTTGTGGTTGTGATAGCTGCTACTAGGAGAGTTCATTTTTAGGAGGGCGAGATGTTATCAGAAGGAGTGTGTAATCGGCACTTTGCATGGATGGCTCAAAGCTCTTATCGCAGTGCCAAAATTTTGTCTCTGTCCTAAAACTCTTCACGCAGTCGTCACGCTGAGTGTTTAGAGGTGAACGCCACATATTGCGCCTCATGCAAATGTACTGTTTATAAGATTGAGGAAACCTGCAGTCAGCTGAGACTGAATCACTTGGATGAGTGACAAAACGTTTTTCCCACGTAAAACGCTACGTCCAGATGAACAGAATCAACTTTTGGGGATTTACTTACCTGGATGATTGAGCATGCATCAAGACATATTGTGCTTCAGTCACATGGGATTTTACTGAAACTGAGCAGAAAATAGGTTCTTTTTCTTAGCACTGCACACACAGCGAACAAATTCCCTCTGCTGCATCTGTAAAGAATGAAAGTGTTAGTGTCTTAGATTATTGTTTGAGGAATCAGTCAATGACACACCTGCACCATCTTGTGGTTCTAAGTGGTATTACATGAAAGTACAGTAAGGCCACAGTTTTCCTTCAGTTGACATCTCTTCAGCACAGTACCTAGATCTTTGTGGACATAAAGTCTTGGGTGATGGTTTGTTCACGTTAAACTGATAGCTTATGTAATTTTGGCTTGCTTGAAAAGATTTGCTGGTTAAACAAAGGTTAAAAATGATGATTTATATGCCCAAGTGGGTTAAAATGTAAAACTGAATCGCTGCCACAAATCTTCATCCCCTGGATGAAGGAACAGCCCATTCCTCAAGTGATGCCAGTGTGAGAGCAGGCGATCGCATTTCACAGTCTTTGTTACAGAAATCAAACACAGCAGTTACATTCCAAGTCTTATTATTATTATGAAATTTCCTCTTTGTGCTTTTTTTCAAAGCTCAGCAGTGCAATGCAAAAGCTTTCTTCCTCTTCTTCTTCTTCAGCTTTCTTTTTTGGAACATTGTAATGTGTGAATAGCGAGTCAGCGTGAGACTTTTAGAAGTCAGTTGGGGGCCTGAAATACAATACAGAAGTCTTCTGTCTCCTCTTCAGTGCTTTAGGCGTCTATAGCTCGTCCGTGTTTTCAAAGTGTCCCTGGACGCAGTGATTCAGTTCTGTGGATTTGTTTGAGGGAGCAGTTTTGTGATGTTTAACAGCTTGTGTGAGTGCGTGTAAAAGTATGTGAGCATTAAATTTAAACTGGTTCTCTTTTGTAGCTGCTGTATTTTTCTGCACTTGTACGCAGTGTACAACTTCATGCCTCTACTCTTCTACTTCCTAGCAGCTCCATCTTTCCAGCTGATAGGAAGGCATTAGTGACTCAAATCACCACTTGTTACAACAAAGGTATGCAGAAGAACATCTCTGAACACACACTACACTGTAACTTGAAGCAGGTTACAAGCTACAGCAGCACAAGACCAAACTGAGTCTACAATTTACACATACTCATCAAAATTGGACAAAAGAAAATTGAAAAAAAAAAGTTCAGTCTTGATTTCTGCTGTGATGTTCATCAAACAACATGAAGACAGCCTACATGAGTGTGGCTGTTGACTGCCTCCATCCTTTTATGACCCAGTTTGGGCCGACTTTTGTTTTTGTTCTTTAATATCACAATAATCATCTCACTAACCTGCAGATTCATTTCTTTATCCAACTAGATGACTGGTGAGACACAACTGGACTAAAGTACCTAAATAAAACCAGCTCAAACCTCGACAAACGACATCATGCATCAACTGGGATTATTGACTCTTCTCAAGAATAAATACTTGTCCTTCTGACATTTTTGTACTTTGAAGTCACGCATTAAATGCAGCTCGTATTTCAAAGGAAACAGTCCAGATAGTCACACTGAAAACTGGACTCAAGTAAATGAGTGCTTCAGTAATTTTCCTACCAATTAATCATTTCCTTTTACATCACCTTAAACAAGATTTTGGCGTTTGTGCTCCTTACGCCTTGAAAACCTGACCATTTCATACTTGCTGTGCTTGCAGCTGAGCAGAGGCAGATTTTGGCTGCAGATGAGCGGAAGAGAGAGTTTCACGAGGAGAAGCGGAACGAGTTTGAGAGCTACGCTGAGGAGGAACATGACGGTACGTGGAGCATTTTCATCGGACGCAGGTGAAAAAGAAGAGTTCTTTCACTGAAATTCTCCTCCTCTACTTTCAGAGCAAAACGAGAGGAGCAGAGAGAGCACCGAGCAGTGGAGGGAGTTCCACTATGACGGGATGCATCCTGCCTACGAGTACAACCGTCACTCCACCTAAGAGTGATAAGAGGAGACGTGCGACTGCTACATAGCGATGCTTTTCCACACAAAATGTGACCGCTAACATAGTAAAGGCAACGACTATACAATGTATTTTTCATTTTTAACTAGATTAATGATTAATTGACTAATCACGTGGTGTAGAAAATGTTAGAGAAGTGTTTAAAAATGGTCTGACAAAGTGGACAA